GAACTTAGTAGGAACTGTGCACACATTCTTTTAAATGTCTTTTTTTTCTCATTTTCATGACAATTATGACTAATACCACATAAGAGCTATATTAAAGTAACACAATAAAATTTTTGTAGCATTGATTGTTTTGAGAGAGGGTGGATATTTACTAGTGTGCATAAATAATGGTAGATAATAGATATACACAATATTTCAGAACTAAAGGGTCTGTTTTTTGTTTGACTAAATTCACTTTTTTCGATAAAACATGTGCCCTATGAGACTGTATGCCAAGGCCAGAATGAAAAAGCAGCAACAGAGCTCTTCATAATCAGAGACTCCTCCACCCCTCAATGTGTGAAAGCTGATTATCGGTCCCTCCACTCCTCTTCATAGCACCCCTTCTCTCTCTTTCATTGTTTCCATCACTCCCTCTCTCCCCCACTTCACTGAAATACCCCTCAACCAACCAAACTGTTCACAATACCCACTGGCTCCTGTTGTTATGGAAACAAGAAATGTGACACAACGCCTTATTAATAAAAGGTGCTTGTGACTATAGAGTAAACAAATGTCAGATACAGTACAGACAGGACACACACCCTGCATACTTTGCTGTTAACGCTAAAAGGATTTCTGACTCAATTTATTTCTCTGTAAAAACGGACTAAGTGTTCAACACAGGTGTTAAATTCCTTGCTAAAGTCCATTTGCACTGTAAACATGCACACACCTTTTGTAAGGTCAGGCAAAAAGGCTTTTGAACTACTTTAGCAACTCTGAATCCTTTGAACCGAAGCCAAATGACTGACAGCAAACAATATTAAAATGCATGAGCAATTCTAACAAAGAGCTATGAAATACACCAAAGGGACGCAGCCATTTGCGAGCAGTGTTTTAAAAATGCCACACGAATGTCGATCCTTTCAAATGGTGGGAGACATATCAAAATGTCTCATTTGAATGAGTCACGATCAAACATATTGCATTATGAGTCGGTAATATGCGCAGAATGAAAATGCGGTATCCAGCGGGGAGAGAGAGAGAGAGAAAGCAGGAGTGGCGATAGATGTTTGAGGGGGTCGATGGACAGGCAAAGTGTTTGCCCACTGGCCGCCTCTGAGGGAACGTGTGTATGAGAGGAAAGAGCACTCACAGATTCAGCCTTGGGCAAGGTGACTGACGGGAGACAGTGAGTGACAGCTGCAGTTGAACTAGAGGATATTCAAACTGAAGGGACAGAATAATGAATCAAGTCCTCAGGAATTAGTACCACATAGACGTCAAAACCCCAGGGAAGACAAATCCACACAAGCAGGATGTCACAGAGTGTTCATAGTATATATAAAAAAGAAGATTTTATCTATAGATGGATATATCAGCCAGGCTGATTAAATGGGAGATATTTTGAGATTAGCAGACAAAAACTGTGCAGGATGACCGAAAGCGGTCATTTTACTTAGTGTCACTATAAAACAATTATGAAAAGCTTTATGCACATCATGCACATGAACGGTTTTCAAAACTATCTTTAAGGTTTAGCTTGTTAGCCTTAAAATTAATGGATTTGGTATCATCGTTTCACATTTCACATTTAATTCCGTGTGTTACTTGCCATTACTTTGTTATTGTTTGCAAACATTTCTTATCAGTTTTTGATAGAAAACCGTTTCAAAGCCATTTTTGTCAGTGTACTGTAACAACAACAAAAAACTGTATTTTTTACAGCATTTATGTATATATATGTTCACGTATCTATATTATATTTGTTTGAGGTTGTCCAGATTTTGTTAGAAATCTCTTGTGTTCACCAAGGCTGTATTTATTTGATCAAAAAATAAACAATTAAATAAATACATGCATACATACATAAATAAAAGTAACAGTATGCAAAAACAGAAATTATTATTATTAGAATTTAAAATAACTGTTTTCTATTTTAATATATATTAAAATGTCAATTATTCCCGAGATGGTAAAGCTGAATTTTTAGCAGGGTTTATTTTTTTATGCATTTTTACTCCAGTTTTCAGTATCACATAATCTTTCAGAAATCATTCCAATGCTGATTTGATGCTCAACAAACATTTCTCAGTATTGCCAATGTTGAAAATAGTTGTGCTGCTTAATATTTTTTGCGGAAATCTTTTTTTTTGTTGTTCAGAAGATCAGCATTTATTTAAAAGAAACATTTTGTAACATCATAAATATCTTTACTGTCGCTTTTGATCAATTTAATATATCCTTGCTGCATAAAAGTATTAATTGTTAAAAAAAAAAAAACACTTAATGACCCCAAACTTTTTAAACAATTTTCAGAGCGCACACATAAAAATATTGTTTTGGGCCTGTGAATTTTAGGGCTAGTCATCAGCTATCAGCCACCCTGCTTTATAGATATCGGTTGAGCACTAAATGTAACAATCACACCACTGGATGCTGGATCCAGTCGAGCCACGGTTTCAGCAGCTTTCTGCTAAAACTCTTCTTTACTGAAGCTCCGTTTGAGTTTACGCCTCTGACCTTGAGCTTCAGGAAACGGACTGCGGTAATGCACATTATTAAAACCGTGAGTGTGTGCATGTCTTCAATGGATTGTCCTTGTCCTCTCAGCACCGCAAACATATTCTTTGATCTTTGACCGGAATGACTCTCACAATGCGGTGGAGAATCTCAGGAATACAATATAATGCACCGACTCGCGCTCTCAACCGCACACAGATCCCACAGACGTGAGAAAACGCGCTCGCACGCACACACAATTTCACTCCCTCTCCCTCTCTCCGCAGTACTCAGGTTGCAATTATCCTCTTTGGCTGGAGTGTTTTGATGGTATAATTGCCATGGACACTGAGGAGAGAGGGATTGGTGAGTGAGAGATAGAATGAGGGATGGAGAGGGGGAGAGAGGGACATGGAGAGCTGACACTCTCAGCATGCTAATGCCCAAAACACACTCCCATCTCCCCCCGTTTTCCTTTTTGTCACTCTCTTCATCACACACACACACACACACACACACACACAGGTGCGGTAACCTCTCTCCATTCCACATTCTCTCCAGGCAGCCAAAACAGCAAATACACAAGCCCGACGGGAGAGCGAGAAAGAGAGAGAAAACAACAGTAGGAGGGAAAAGAGAGGGATATTTTCCATCCACTGACAATAGAGATGATCCAGGCTCATCCTCTGCTCATCCCTCAGTTCTTTCTGCTATGTAATCCTTTTTGTCCTTTATATTCGTTCTTTCCCTTTTACCCCACTCCAGAAACAGAGCCAAAGTGCGAACGGCTGCCTTAAACACAATGGCCCTAAAAGAGATGGGGATTCATCTGCACTGATGTCTTGATCGAGTCTAGGCAAAACAGCGACATCTGGTGGTGGATTAAAGAAACTGCACGCAAACTCACTAACGTCAACATGACACGAAAATTGAACTATTCCCGGTCCTACTGTGCACGATTCATCAGTTTGTCTTTCAAACGCCTTTATTCTTTTGTTTGACGTCAAATTGGTTCATATTTACCGATAATCAAAGCCATTTAGACATTGTTTTAAATGAATATTTCAAATAAAAAAAACATTGAATGGATTGAAGTCATTGTTTTAAAGGATCCGTTCATCCAGAAATCTAAATTTGCTGAAAATGTACCCATCCCCAGGCCATCCAAGATGTAGATGAGTTTGTTTGAACAGATTTGAGGAAATTTAGCATCACTTGTTCACCATTGAATCGTCAGCAGTGAATGGGTGCCGTCAGAATGAGAGTCCAAACGGCTGATAAAAACCTCACAATAATCCACACCACTCCAGTCCATCAATTTGCATAGTGTGAAGTGCATGTTTGTAAGAGTCAAATCCATCAAGACGTTTTTAATCTTTAAACGGGACGAAATACCAGTCCATAATCCATAATAACGCTTTCTTCAGTGAAAAAGTCCTCTTACTTCAAAATGCATATTTATTTTAAACTGGTTTTGCTTGTAAACAATGCTTGATCTGTGCAATATTTCTCTCCTGATTCAGAAAAGACAAATAATACGGATAGAAGACTTGTATTTTTTGCCAGAAGCAATAGTTTGAAGTAAAAAAAAAAAATTTTTTTAAAAAGTCTGGATGATGGATTGTTTCTTACAAACATGCCGTTTTCATTTGGAGTCATGTGGATTACTGTGATGTTTTTATCAGCTGTTTGGACTCTCATTCTGACGGCACCCATTCACTGCAGAGGATCCATTGGTGAGCAAGCGATGCAATGCTAAATCCAAATCTCTAATTCTTTTCGATTAAAAAACAAACACATCTACATGCCCTGAAGGGGAGTACATTTTCAACTTGTATTGAACCTGGAACATCTCTTTAAGCTACTGTTGTACGAGTTGCAGCTTGCTTGCCAATATCCCATGCAGCAATTTAATGCCAGCAAAAGCTAATGTAATAAATGCAACAGCAATAATAACCAATAACAACAGCCTCCCCAAAATGGAGCACACTGTTTCAGGAGTGGAATAACCCCATTTACAATCAACTGCAAACTCTGGTATAGAACGCCCACCATCCAATTAATTCCCAATGGACGGAATCAAGTCCCTTCCTACATTTTGAATACACACTGAATCTCCTGTTCCACCCTGAATGTCACATTACAGAAGTAAAATAGGTCAAAAATGTCATTTCATGTTGATAATAACAATTTATATATTAAATTACTCATTTACAAAACAGGCAGATTTCATTGAAAAGGCAATGTCTTCATTTAAACAACGGTCATTTACATAACAGCTCCATTTACACAACAGATCAACCGTTGGATAAAAAAAAAAAAGAAGATATTTCCAGTTCCTTAGGCTCAGAAAATGTATCAGATTATTAAGATAGTGTCAAAAGAGTAAAACTCTGTTGTGGTGGTCTTACGGTGCAGGGAGTGTAATGCTGTTGGACATATCCTACAAGTGTAACTATTTGAGTAAGCGGGAAGGTAAGTGTGGGAGTCAAGTGTGTGTGTGTGTGTGTGTGTTGACTGTGTGGGTGGCCGGCGAGTTGCACTTAAGTGAAACTGTGGTGGAATTGTTTCAATATGTGTGTGTGTTAGTCAAAACTCAGTTGATGAGAGAACGTATGTGGGAGTGTGCTTGGGTGTCCCAGGTTTGATGAAGCTTGAGTTCGTATGTATGTGTGTGTGTGTGTGTGTGTGTGTGTGTGTGTGTTTAAACAGTTTCTCTATGTATTGTGGTCGTGAGTGGGAGTCTGTATGGAGAGAAGTCTCTCCGCATGCTCTAGGATTTCAGCAATCTTCCTCTTCACTGCTTCTCTCCTCTTCAAATCTACATCTCCTAGCGAGAGAGAATGAGTAATAGAAAGAGAAGAGAAAAAGGGTAGAACAAAGGGATGTTGTGAGGTTTAGTTTCCTCCTACCATTTAAATATGTTGCATTGCATCCAAATAGAGCTCATTTCCTGCTTTGAGGAAACAAACATTGCATGTTAATGTCCTTGTGTTGAGAGATACTCTGCTCTTTCCTCTCAAATAATTGAATCATGCCAGGGTCATCCTGACCACAGCAAATTGGCATTTGGCTGATTTAGGATCTGTAATCTGCATATGGGGCCAGTTTTTCATTTTTATTTAGATGGAAAACAAAAAGAGGAAAAAAACTACAATTTTCATTGAAACAGCAATGTTTTGGTCATGCAATTTATTAAAACATTGCAGTTTTATTAAATATTGGAGTTCTAACAAGCTACGACAGTGTACAGGATTCATGAATCTCTCTTAATACTATTTTCCAACACATCTGCCTGCAACCATTCAGGTGAGTGAGGGGTGTTTATTTTTTTAATAATAGGTAAAATGTCATCCAGTTGTAAATTAATATACACTACCATTCAAAAGTCATTTTAAACTGTAATAATTGTTCAGAATATTACTTTTTTTTTTACTGTATTTTTGATCAAATAAATGCAGCGTTGATGAGCATAATGATTATAGAAGTTAAAGAATCTTACCGACCAAAACATTTTGAAGGGTATTTTGTGCACACTGAATTTTGTGCACATTGTAACTTTCAGTTCATTATTAACACTGGAAATGAAAAGTCAAGCACATGCATTGTGGGATACTATATTCCCTACAGTGTGCTTTGTTGAATACTAAATACTACATTTATCAATGTGTATCGGGGTATTCCATGCATGCAGACACAGTTTTCACAGTGTGCACAGTATATACATGCTATACTGCAATTTGTTAGTCTATTATAAAGAACAGCATCCTTCTCTTACCTGGCACTCCTTTCATAAATATATAAACAGCCGTCCTATATCGTTGTACTGCTGCACTGTATTCGCCGTTCCTCTCTTTTTCCTGGGCGGCCTTCATCTCTTCATTGGCCTGGTACACGTAGCTCACATCTCCAGCAGACTCAGTCCCATCTGGAACGGTTAGAGGAACGGACAGGAGTTCAGCGTGGCTGGGTGATCCATACAGTTGATCTGAAAGATTGGGTGATAAGAAAATCAGAAAACCAATTATATGTAGAAATGACGAGTTAAACGGACTCATTTGACTTTATTTTTAGTACTTCTGCTCCCTAAGGGGGAAGTCGTGGCCTAATGGTTAGAGAGTCGGACTCGTAACCCAAAGGTTGCGGGTTCGAGTCTCATACCGGCAGGGATTGTAGGGGGGGGGAGTGAATGTACAGCGCGCTCTCCCACCTTCAATACCACGACTGAGGTGCCCTTGAGCAAAGCACCGAACCCCCAACTGTTCCCCGGGCGCCGCAGCATAAATGGCAGCCCACTGCTCCGGGTGTGTGTTCACTGTGTGTGTGTGCGCACTTTGGATGGGTTAAATGCAGAGCACTAATTCTAAGTGTGGGTCACCATACTTGGCCACATGTCACATGTCACTTTACCTTCTTTGGCACATGGATCAAAAATAGCGAGGTCTGTATCTGAAAGGAGAGGCGGGGCCTTGTATGAATGTTCGTCCAATCCCGAGTCAAACAGTGAATCAAACTCCTCTGATTGGTCGACTGGAGAACCCGGAATTTCAAGCGAGGCATCTGGAAGATGAAAAACAGGAATAGAACAATCAGCTATGATGGAAGTCAAATAAGACATTACAGGATTGATAACTGTAAGAAACTAACGGGTTGTAGTGTCGGTAGCAGAGCATTGGTCTGTGCCGTTATTCTGATGTGTTGTGATGTCAGTCTCTCTCTCTTTTTCTGTCAGTCCTTGTATTTCCTTTTCGGTGTGTGTTTCTTGTGTGGGGCTGCTTTCCGTGTCACTGAGAGCCTCAACTGCCAACTCAGGTTGGGTTAGATCTGTCAGTCTTTGGTTGGACTCCAGCTCCTGAGCGTGGATAGGAGCCTCTCTCCCCGTCTCCTCTTCAGCCAGCAGCTCAGTGTTTCTCTCAGGCAGGGGAATAAGAGGAGGCGGAAGAGACGTAGAAATGGCAGCTGTCTCCATTGGTCTTTTCACTTCTGCTCCCTAAGACAAGAGAAATAAAACCAAAAATAGATAGATAGATAGATAGATAGATAGATAGATAGATAGATAGTCTGAGTAATAGCCCTCTGAGATCTCAAAGTCTTAGTTCATGTGGGTTCAATAAGGGGTGTGATTTAGACTATAATGTCACCCAGCTGCGAACATGTCCGATATCAGCCACACACGAGTGTCAACTTTGATCGGCTAGACAGGATCTCTCTGTATATGCAATGCAGTCAAGCAAATCACCAGAGATGAAGGATGGTGTGAAATAATGACTAAGCAGACCAATTAACATTTGAGTCACTTCACATCATTAAATCCACAGTCTAACGAGGACCTCATAGTGAGAACAAGACAGAAATGCACGGCTCTCCAAATCACAAGTGACACCACACGCCTTACAAGAGCATAATAGCATCATCCCCCTGTAATAACTAACATCCTAGCAGTTCATTAGTACCTCGCCACTGAAGTTAATAACATTTCACCTGTCAAACAGGAGTATATTTAAGTCCCAGATGATGCATTTTTCCATGATCTATTATTGCAAATGACAGAATTGATAAGGCTTCTGATGCAAAAGTAACACCTCGGTGTGACCTTATCAAACATCTTTCCTACTGGGTCTGGGAGTCCCTCCTCATGCACAAACGTCTCATCACACTTCACCCCTGCTCCTCTACACCCACACACCAACACCACCACCTCCACTGTCCTTCGTAGTTATGTTTTGACCAATAAGTGCTCTCTAATCGACCCCAGGATCCCACATTTGGTGCCTATAAAAGCCTATCATCCTTAAACCCCTCTAAAAGGCAGTGTTTTACAGTGTTGAAAGGATGTTCTCTCCGTTACAGGTGTTTGTGGGGACTCTGTCCATGTCTCTGCTGCTTTGCAGCGTCAGTTCGGCACCAAGAGAAGACCTGCAGCTCCAGCTGCTCCAATCAGAAGTGGATCCCAAGGAGAATGAGGTAAGACAAACTTTTCTACAGAATTTTTTTTAACGTCAAAATTCCGTATTTGATTCAATGTGTTACTTGCCATTTCTTTGTAGTTATTTGTGAAAGTTACTAGCAAGTACTAGCAATTTTCACTTTGAGTGCAAATTGTTTCTACATAATTTTTCAGGTTATTAGAGTATGTTTTACAAGAAATTACTATTTTAGTTTGTCTACCTCAAAAGTACTTGTATATTTCGGTGTTACTTGCTGTTTCTTTTTGAGTGAAAATTGTTTCAAAGCCTTTTGTTTGTGGCTTTTGCAACAATTTTCTTAGAAATGGCTAGTAAATTTGGAAAAACTTTACAGTAAAATTAAAATGAACTAACATTAAGATTAATAAATACTGTAACAAATTTATTGCTCATTTTTAATGTTAGATAATGAAAGGAATTTGTTGTAAAGTGTTGCTGTAAATTTCAACTGTTAGCTCAATTCCACTAAATAATTTTAACAGATGCAACTTGGATATTGAAAATAAGATTAAGATCAATAAATACTTTAGAAGTATTCTTCACGTAGTGAAGTGTCTAATGAAGTCTAATGAAACCTTATTGTAAAATTTTGTAGAATTTACTGATTTTGGAGTGAAAATCAATTTGAAACAATTTTCACTCAGAATTTGCTATTAATTAAATAATAATTACAAAGTAACAGCAAGTAGCAAATTGAATTAAACATAAAATTCTTAAGACTGAAATAGTATAACCTTCATTTACAACTTAATTTTTACAGTGCAGTTTTGAAGATAATATCTGTGTGGATATGGAGAAAAGAATAATATGCATATCGAAGAACTACAGCAAGTTCGAATTAGAATGTTTTCTTTTTGACAACAAAAGGTTTCTGAATCATCTTCTTTTCTCTCTTCAGCTTCAGGATCTCTCTCGTTTGCTTCTTCTGAAGCAGCTTTCTGAGTCGGTGGCACCCGAGGAGAAAGACGCTCTTGAAAGCATCGATGATCTTGAGGTTCGTAATGAAGTGGTTCGCCAGATTCCCTTTTCCCAACGAGAACGCAAAGCAGGCTGCAGGAATTTCTACTGGAAGACCTTCACCTCTTGTTAGTCAACCTGCAAGACCCTTACAAACACTGTTATACTTGTGTAGCCATCCAAATAACTTGATTAGAGGATTTCTGGTCCTGTGCATATAGCATGGATTGTAATAATCTAGATGTTCTTCAGCTTCTTCTCTTTCTTATACCATCTGCATTAACCAAGAATGTTCCTTAAAAATCACCAGCACACACAGTAATACTATTCCAGTATAAAGAGATTAACTCTTGACTTTTATGCAGTGTATGCTATAAAATGTTTGTATTATGGGTACTATCAGGATTGATGGCCAGAGATTATATGATTAACATTTAGAGTTTTTTGTGTTGACCTTGCAACAGTGTCATTGGATTGCTAGTCCTCTGTAATAAAAGTGTGATCAGGGAAAGTGTGTTTATGTGTGATTGGCTCTATGGGATGTAATATAAACAGCAAGAACACACTAAAAACTTTTTTGTCAGGTTTTTTTTCTTTCACATTCATCAAATCATAAATTGGAACAACGGTCAGTACAAACTAGATGTCAATAGACATTTGCAGTAAAAACAGATGGATTTATAAAGCTGATCTTTTTCTCCCCCTAAACTCAACATCAGGAAAATAAAATGCAAACTCATCCAAACGTGCCCTGAAATAAACCGGCAGCTTAAAAAGTAAATCAGCCATTGAAACAGACTGTGCAGTACCAGGGCACTTTATCAATTAGCAATCATCTGCAATGACAGGTTTAGAAAAAGTTTTTTGGCAGCAAATTGACCAGATGGACACTATTGCTGGAATAATCTTACAAAATATTCCAGGCAAATCAATAAATAAAGCATGCAACCATCTGAACCACTTTATGCTTTTAGTTTCTAGATAATTGTAACTATTTGTCAGCGCAAAAACTAGCACTTAATTATGTTGCTTCAAACAATCAACACCTTATTGGAAACCTTTTTATATAATGGCGTTACGCAATGGATGCTTGCTGCTACACATCATTCAAATAACAGACAATTAAAAACGCATTTTGACATAAAATAAAGCAAATGAGATGTAATAGAATAAAGCCAACCAGTAACAATCTCTGCACAAGAGTCAGATGTGTAACAATCTGAAAGTCATTTAGTACGTACTTGTAACCTTCATACTTGACCATTTACTGTGTGTTAGACATTAATCGATGTATATTTAGTGACAAAATCGCGACTAAGTTTCTTGATGTGATGAGAAATGTTCTATTTCTAATAAGAAGCCACGATTTGTAATTCATCTAACCTACTAGATTCCGTTCCTTAACTGCTCTCTATTTCTTTCACTATTCAAACTCCTTGAAAATAATCCACCCTGCTGCCAAACCCAAACCGCTGAATGTAGCAAAAAACTGCAGCTGCTCAGCTTTAAAATGAAATCAACCACTTTGATCCAACACACACCTGTCAAAAGATTTCCTTCATTGAAGCGGCCATTAAACAAACTGAGCCTTTATTCCTATCTGACAACACTTCTCTTGTAACAGTTTCTGAAATCAGCGTAAACCTAGAGCTAGAGATTGCACGGAAAACAGAACAAAACAGCTGCCCGTGCTAAACTTTTCCAACCTGTTTACCAGAATTATCATTAGTATCATGACGAATGTAATGATAATAAAGTAAACGAAATACAGTAATAACATCCTTCAACAATCATGATTTCAAGTATTAAAATAATGAGCACTGGATATCCAGACATCAGGTTTTTGTTTTTGAGAGGATAAAAGAAAAGAGATGATCTGAATGGGGACAATATGAAGTGACCCCAACTGCCAGCAGAATTGGGGCATTATTTGAGGAAACTGTGACATGTTACTATATTTCCATTAAAGGTTAATATTTTAGTGTTGTAAAAGTGACTGCTTCAAGGTAGAAATGCACCCTGTTCACGAGGCTCACATTTCGCATAAACACACATACGCTAAAGATTATACACAAACACCATCATATTTCATTTACCACCTGTTTTTCTATATTCTTGAGGAAACAGCTTTCCAGTGGGACTACTCTAAACACTAGAACTATTTTTTTCTCCTCGGCTCTATGCTACCCTGAGAGGGACGTCTTCATATTATTTGTGCGATCGGCATGCAAAGTCAAGGGTGGAAGAAATGCCAGGCGGTGGATGTTTAGATAGTGGTACATTCTGAAGAATAACTATGAAGAAGAGAAGGGACACAGAGTGATGGGATGGGGGCATTAGCAGTCAGTGGAGATTTTGGCAGAAAGATCTTGGATGCGACGGGCACTGCAGCTCTTGCAGAGAATGTGTCCGTCTAGGGGATAGCAGCCTCTTCCCTCGCCCTCTGAAGAGAGGAGTAGACCACAATCCTGCAACACAAACCATTTTCTTTAGCACTCATTTAGACCATTTCACTTATTATTATCCATTTACCTTATTTCATATTCAATATTCAAAATGTAATTTTAAAATGTAAATCTCATAGTATTATTCAATTGCAAATGCAATGTAAATTCATTCATGTCACCTCTGAGCTGCATTTAACATTGTGCAAATACAGGTGCATCTCAATAAATTAGAACATCGTGGAAAAGTTCGTTTATTTCAGTAATTCAACTCATTGTGAAACTCGTGTATTAAATAAATTCAATGCACACAGACTGAAGTAGTTTAAGTCTTTGGTTCTTTTAAGGGGATAGCAGCCTCTTCCCTCGCCCTCTGAAGAGAGGAGTAGACCACAATCCTGCAACACAAACCATTTTCTTTAGCACTCATTTAGACCATTTCACTTATTATTATCCATTTACCTTATTTCATATTCAATATTCAAAATGTAATTTTAAAATGTAAATCTCATAGTATTATTCAATTGCAAATGCAGTGTAAATTAATTCATGTCACCTCTGAGCTGCATTTAACATTGTGCAAATACAGGTGCATCTCAATAAATTAGAACATCGTGGAAAAGTTCGTTTATTTCAGTAATTCAACTCAAATTGTGAAACTCGTGTATTAAATAAATTCAATGCACACAGACTGAAGTAGTTTAAGTCTTTGGTTCTTTTAATTGTGATGATTTTGGCTCACATTTAACAAAAACCCACCAATTCACCGTCTCAACAAATTAGAATACTTCCTAAGACCAATAAAAAAAAAATGTTGGTTTTATTTTTGGTCTCTTGTTTCTCATTTTCCTCTTGACAAGAGAATCTATGGGGTTCAGGTCTCTAAGACCAATAAACAAAAAATGTTGGTTTTATTTTTGGTCTCTTGTTTCTCATTTTCCTCTTGACAATACCGGTTCAGGTCTGGTGAGTTTGCTGGCCAGTCAAGCACACCAACACCATGGTCATTTAACCAAACTTTTGGTGCTTTTGGCAGTGTGGGCAGCTCGTCACTTAAACCATATTTCAAAAACAAAAAAGTAATGCAATTACATAAAGTTAATTATATTCTTCTGTCCTACTTAAGCACTCTAAAAAGTTTTGTTAATTGCATTTAATGTAAACTATAATACATTTTATTTAATTGCACTGAAGGACAATTAATATTATATATTTCTTAAAATGTATTATTTTGAACTTCCATAATCATCAAGCCACAAATATCAGAAAACAAACAGCACATTTTCTTGAATCAAAACTATTTTATTTATTTGTTATCAAGTTGGCAAATAAAGGACTATTCACCTACAATAAATAAAACCATAAAGATAAAAACATTTTTCGGTTTTTTTTTTTGTCTTTATCGTTGTTGTTTTTTTTGTAAACAACA